AGGCAAGCTCCATGATTTCCTCGGTGCGAAACCTGAACAAAGCAAAGCATGTGGGTCAGCCATCAATGAGAAAAGTAAACGAAACTAGCAAGAAAGAAGCCTATTTCACAAAAAAACATATGGGAAGCCATTAGAGCCATTCTCGTGCGACGGCGCCTCTCTCATCGATTTAGTTCCTGTTTTCCTAACGTTTGCTCTTACTTTCGGGAGCAATAGCTCAAACCGAGGGAATCGTGAAGATTGACCGACGAATAAGGCTCCAAGTCAATCATTGGGAAATCCTAACCGGTTATAGCTCTTTTTTTCGCATACGTCAAAAGGTTGGTTATTCTCTCGTAGTTCTCGAATGTTACAGCACCGGAAAAGCAGATTTCTCCAACCTGGAAAAAACAGCAAGTTTCCAATGATGATCAGGTAAAATCGGAAGCCATGTCACAGTCAACGGACCGACCACATGGAAATTCATTTGAGGAACTCACCAAGTTATGATCCTTCACATTCTCAAAAGATTTCATCAATCTCAAAAACTCGTCATCAGAGCCCGTCATTGTGGCTTGCGAGAAAAGATAGTTCATTCTCGCAACATGGACCCTCTGAAAATGGACACTTGAGCAGTGAAAGAAAACTAGAAACATAAAACTTGAAACATAGAACATATTACTAAGAAGCCCCACTTGAATGTCCAGATGAAATTGTGTAGCAAATTGTTCAGCTTGATCGAGCTGATTTCTGCTAATAAGTCTCTGGAGCTTCATGTCTGGTTGAGCTTCCACTATTTCCCTCACTTTCACCGTGTCACTGTCTTTTCTGAAAAAAAGAACGAACATGTACTCCACCACTGGAAAACAGAAAAAAGAAACTTTGTCGTTTACGGGAAATCGTGAAAGAGACGAAATTAGCATCAAGAACAGAAGAAACTAACACAACACTGTTTGAGAACGACTCCACAAGCAGAATCACCCGATCTGCTGTTTCCGACACCGGTAGCAATGTGGTTTTCTCATTCACAGCAACGCAATACGCAATTTCCAAGGATGACATCGAACGCACTGCATCACAGAATATGACGCCGTTTGCCTTTGAAGATAAATTATACGCGAATGAAGTTCAACTAACCTCCATGCGGTTCTCCGTTTTCACAATAAGAGCAATAGTTCCCACATTGGGACCGATTTTTGGTCTGGTGACGAACATGAAATCGGCGAAAACTTCTCCCTGATAAACGAATGAAATTCACTACTGCTTGTACGCTTAAAAAATATGGAATGGTTGAAGATCTGCGTAACTACTTAAAGCAACAGTCCCAGCTGGGTGGGCGTGGTCGGAAAAGGCTACTGCAATCCTCTCGGCCGATTCCCACTTCGAAGCTGTTCAGTCCCTAGTCAAGAACGTAAGAAGTGTGACTGAACAAAAACTCACCTTTGGAAAGCTGCTAGGGGGGTATTGAACTGGCGCTAGTCGCGAATACGGCTGAGATTCAGCCGTTTGGTGGGCGCCCACCCTGCTGGGGACTGTTGCTTTAACTTGGAAATTCCATTCAGGGACATATAGACAGCCTTTCACAGCGCTTCAAATAACTTGGTGGCCATTACATTTACACTTCGCACTCACACATTTAAAAGATTAGAAGGCTTCATTGATTGTCACTCATTAGAAGGTTTCATTGATTGTCACTCATTACACTTTTCATTAACCACACGCAAGATGATGAACAGTTCGCTCTCTTCCATGTAAAAAATTTTCGTCAGTCTTGCAGCTTACCAATTAGAAAAATGTCTTGCCCTATACATGAGTACCTTCATTCTAGAAAAGGTTCTTCTCCAGAATAGTGGAAAAAGTCCAAAGGTCTGTCACCACGAAAATACCGTCAAGGGTTAAGCCCATAAGAAAGCGGTTATTGCAGCAAGGACGAACCCGAACAAACGAGAAAGCTAGAATTGATTACCTTGTATTTCGTGAAGCTTATTTTCGAAAATAATCCAGTAACTGTACAGAGTACCTGCAAAAGTATCACCGAGAGTCTCAGAGGTGCCATTGCCCAGCTGACAAATTTGCAAAGGCAGCTGCTGTACAGGAACCTGGAAAATCGGGAAAAGAGATTCTATAATGGCTCATTAGCACGGCATCCAAGCAATATTTTCACTACTAACATGTAGCTCAAATCGTGATTCATTGCTTACCTGGACCAACAAGTTGCCAGTGCAGACGATAGCATTTAGAGGGCACTTGCTCACCGATTGTGTAATTTGAACATTTTGTAGCGACTGGAACAGTGTTCTCATTCAATATCTTCTACAACACAGTGCAATAAACTTCTTGGAGAGCAATTTTTGCTAAAACTAGGAAATTATCGGAAACGTTACAAAGGTACTGAAGGTCTTGCGAGCATCTGGCCAAGAAAGGGTTCAGTCAGGCACTCCACAACGAAGAAAATAAAGAAAATGTTCAAGTTCCATATTGCAATGATAGGGGAAAAAGTGTCAATTCGTAGCTATCGCAAACCGAGTAAATGTTTCACCCAAGAAATCAATGGAATATTTAGAAAGTTGCTGCTTTATTTCCAAAAATTGTCGGCTCTGAACAATGGAATCGATCGAAGTGAGTGCTGGACTGAATGGAACAACAAACCTATGGTTCTTCCTTACCTTAGCCAATCCACCTTTTTTGCTCTGTTCAAGCACTCAAAATAAGACACTCATTCTCCCATAAGAAAACATCTGCTGGACGAGAGGTGAAAAAACCTACTTCTTTACAGTAGGCCTGTAGATTATCCTTCGATGTTCCTGTTAAAGTGGACCAATTAGGAATTCGAAATGTTAATACTTGTCCATCTTCACGAGCAATAGCAAGACAGCACACGTCATCGACAACATCCGATGACAGGAAAGCTCGTTTACACGATGCCGTAAAAGGCAAACTCTAAAAATATGTATCTCTGAATAGTAAAGAATAGATTATGGAGCAGAGCTGGAGAACTCACCAAAGTCGTAAGCACTGCTTGCAGTTCGACTGACAAAAACACGACATCCATGGAAGAACAAACAACTGCCAAGATGTGGCTATCTCCCAGCCATCCAATCCCGCAAATATTGGAGCCAGCTAAATTATCTCAAGTGATTTACAGCTAAACGATCACCAACAGGAATGGTGGCCAGTTTTTTGAGCAGTAGAATTTGCACACTGACAAAAAATTATGTCTCAAGGGAATAAAATAAGGTTTCTCTTCTATCTTCGAGAGTTGTATGCACTATTCAGAATCTCTGACATACTGAAACACGAACTTTGTTATTGACAATGATTTCGGGAGCCACTTTTCTGCTTGAATACAATTGCAATCCCTTCCCACACCCTAACCATAAGTGTTGCCACATTATTAGGACTATAGAAATCCATGCTGAGGAGGAGGAAAAACCACGGAAACCTCGTCCTTTATTTTTTATTATAGAGATGCTGTGAGTTAAAACGCTTATCAGTAGATCAATCAATCTGGTACACTTGAAAAATGCGGCGCTTTTTTTCAGAATGGCTTTTAGCGTTTTTTAAGAAACGACCATGGGACATGGGAATGACGTTCGTTTTGCTAAACGGCCTTGAGACTGCCAAAACGGAAGTTCAGTAAGTACAAAATCTGCAGCTTTCTTGTAATTATACTGACGTCTCCCGTGAGGATATTTTATTATAGCAAATACGGCACTCATTTCTCTTTTACTTAACGCGCGTTTTCACCAAACTTGCCGTCAACTCAAGTACGAGGATAACTCAGTAATCACAAAATGCAAGCGACGCTTGCCAACATTTTACATTTAAGAGTTGCAACGGTAGAGTAGCAAAAGAGTTACTAAGACAAAATACGAGGCTTAATAGGCTAATATTAGGCTGGTGTCAGAGTCCGCGCGATTTGCCCGCGAGCGATTTTCGCGATTTTCGCGAAACCTGCGATGGATCACAGGAGTTGGAAGTGCCCGATGAATACTGCGAGGTGTTGTTTAATCCTGCTGCGAATTCTGCTTGGCAGTAAAGATTGGAAGACGAATGTTTGTGGTTCTACTTGTTTCATGTTCAATGTCTATTAGTTCATTGAAATGCTCTTGAATCGTTCCTTTTTTCAGGAATCAAACCAAACAATCACAAAGCAAGTGCCCATTTGAATTTGTTGATTATTTTATTAACACTGGTTATGAAACAAGTGGAATCATGAGCAGTCTCCATTAAATCATAACCATCAAGCAGAAGTGACGGCGGGATTGGAGAACACCTTGCAGTATGGATGGGGCACTTGTGATTTCCGTGACCCGTCGCGCAAATCGCGAAAATCGCGCAAGTCGCGGACCTGAATCAGCCTATACGTGATGAGAACATCACCGGTGCAACGGTGAGGAATCACTTGTGTTCATGAAATAAAGGCAAGCCAAGCCATAACACATGGCTTTCAAGCAGCGAGCGGCTCCTTGTAGTGATCCTTAGAGAGGTTTTGCATTAAAGTGGATGACCACTTATCAGTTCACGAGGGCAATAGATGATAAATCCAAAGAACTAAAGAATTTTGATACTATTGGTACTATTTAACTATTACAACTTCAGAATCATAAAACTTGTTTTTTGTCGAAACTTTGCCTATAAGGGGAATTCGATGCCCTGATTACAAAAACGACATTCGTTTTCTTTAGGGTTGTATAGTTAAATAGTGCCCGAAATTCTACGATTCTAAGATTAAGGAAAAATGTATCTGGAATTTCTTGTGGCATCGTTCAAGCTCGTGCAGAAACGAACCTTTTTGTATATAGGAACTTGTCACATCACGTGGAACCGTTTAAATAAGCGGTGCAAACTTACCCTTGAAAGGCTGCGTGAAAAGGTGCTGCAGATCGAAACTTATCGCAAAAATGGAGACGTCATCTCCAACAGCGATTGCTAACCAATTTTCGTTGCTTTCTGAGAAAACAGACGGCGTGTCACATTCACAGGTTGGGTCTTCATTTTCAGTGTTATCGAAATCGCCTTAAATGATAAACAGCGTTGATGACCAATTCAGGGGATGAAATCAATAAGAAATAAGCTCTCACCGGAAATAGCAGCCAGAGTTTGATTTGCATCAGCGCTGTCAATCTGCGAACTCAGTTCCCGGTCGTTGACCGATAATCAAACCGAAAGGACGTTCGTTTTAGACTTCTCTTATCTCCAATAGTCCGTTTCTACACGAATACGGCATCATAAAGAAGCCTGCAAGGAGAGAATGATGTCATATTTCTGCAGTATTTGATAATCGTTAGAAAAGACTCCATGTATGACACGAAATTGACGGTGCTATACAAGTAGGGTGGGCACGCCGCATTTTTGAACAGAAATGTATGTCAGTGGGACTGCTGCTCGCTACTATACTGTCACGAGAATTGGGGAGTTCGTGAGCCAGGGGAGTGTGTAGCCAATCTAGGGGGTGGGGGGTGAGGGCAGTCACTTGACATGCGTGAAAAGCTGGGTGTGCCCACCCCACTTGTATAGCACTAATAATTGACCAAACGAGACGGAAACAGCCCTTTCGGTTTACGGTACTTGCTTTTGCTCATATGGTCTGCCGCGGATGGAACGGCATAAGACGACTTAGAGAATGCGGTTAAGGCCCTGGGACTAAGCTTGGAGAGAGAGAACTCGCCAGAAGCAGAGGTTTTGAGGGCTGAGTCAAAGTAGTCCTCGATCCAGTTAAGAGAAATTTTCAGAATCGATTTATTGCGCCGTAAATGCAGTTGTTGCGAATGTGGAGCTTCGTAAGGCGTAGACCGTTATGAATTCCGACCAGGTTTGAAGATTGGACGAGGAAATCCTCGACGGGGGGGGGAGTCGTACTTGTGAGGCTGGTGATGTGTGTATGTGTTGACAGTACCAACGCAATGCATTTGCGTGAGACAGGAGTAAAAAGAGGGTGTAGTACAAGCAAAACGAGATTGTGCTGGAAAACATATAAAATATTCTTGCAGGTCGCTCCATTCTCTAACTGTTTATATTGTTTTCGTATTTGAAGCAGTGAAAGAATGAAGATGCATTCCAAGAAGTACATGTGCCGCGCGCTTCAGAGGCACCTGTCTATTACGCCCTCCCTTAATACTCGTTTGAAGAATGTTGTAGGGAGGCTGTTTCGCAAAAAAAACGTGAAGAAGGTCGGTCGTAATTGTTCCTCAGCTTATAGCAAATACGAAGTTGGTTTCTACGATGCGAGTCCGTAAGTGGTCATGATCAGTATAACACTTTCAACGATTCTGCGATTCGGTGCACGCCCTGTACGCCAGACAGATTGTGACGATGCCCTTTCTTATGTATGTTGATAGAATTTCTAAAAACATCCTTTGTTTTTACATTGCATAGTTGAGGAAGGGAGCGGCTTTGTAGGTGGCCGAGAATCACACTCGATAGATCCTTGGCGCAAATATCTCCTCAACTAGAGAATGTAGAAGGAAGCTGAGCATACTGTCAGGAAGCGCAAACCTTCCGCTTCCCAAAACTTTCTTCGCTTTTTCAATGATCTTTTTCGGAAATTAGAGAGATAATTGCTTTCATGTGGCGGAAAATTCGCATGAATTTTCACATCCTTGGCCATGCGGGTTTGAAGAGACTATATCTCTTCGAATGGAAAGCTTTCATAGCAATTCCAATACTGCCTGATAGTAGCAAATCTAGCTCTATCTAACCCTACCGCGTGCTGTTCAAAGGTTGGGAAATGGAGGAATGGAACCTTTTCATCGAGGGTGTAGATTTCGACGGTTTTTTTTTCGGGATTTCAGCAAATCTGACCCAGGACAAATCGCGCCAGCTGCCGTTGAATCGGCCGTTGATCGATACACTCGGCTGTTGTGATTTCGCGTATGTCGGTTGATAGGGTCTTTAGCTAATGCTCGATTGTTAGGAGGTCGTTACTTCCCGACGTCACGGCCTCACCACCGCTAGATGAGTTATCGAATCAACGGTCGATTTTCGAGTTGTTGCTATTGAAACTTCCATCGAAGAGTGTAGTCGCTCTCAAAACCCTCGAAGGAGCGTCGAGGATGCTGAGATTTTCATGCGAGTTTCTGCACTTAAAAGGCAATATCTCTCCAATTTCGCAAGATCTTAAAAAAGCGAAGAAAGTTTTGGGAAGCGGAAGGCTTGCTTCCTGACAGTTGCTCCTTCCTTCTATTTCTCTAGGTGAGGGACTCTCTTCGGCCCCCCTTATATCGAGGATGATTTTGCACTTACAAAGCCGCTTCTTTCCTGCACCACTCATTGTTTTTCGTTGGAAGACTCGAAATGTGTCTGGATCATTCGTTCAAATAAGCAGTAAGAAAGGGGTAATCGTTTTGGCGGTACAGGCCGTGCCACGCGAGTTGCAGATCGATTGTAGATTGTTTATATTGATCGTACCAGTTGCTTAAGCGCATTGTAGTAAATACATTTCTACTCCTATAGATTGGACAATTATTTGCCAGCCTTTTCTCCGGTTGTCGTTGTTGCGACAAACGTCCCTAAACAACAAGTGTCAATTCTCCAACGATTGTGATTATAGATAGAGGCCGGGTAGATTAGGGGGTCTCTGCAGGACGTGTGCACATGTGAGCCCGTTCCTTTCGGAGATGCATTTTCGTTCTCTGCTTTGTTTTCAAATACGCCCCTCCCATAAAGTTAAAGGAATGGAGCGAGAGAATATTTTATACAATGTTTTTTCACACATTTTCGCTTTCTGATGCGCTACACCCTTCCACTCCCGTCTTCACTTACTACTCCACTTGCTGATACTGACGTTTACGAGTTATCGACCCCATGAACCGAGCAGCAAGTCGACACCATTGTCGAGGATTCCGCTCGACTGATATACCTGCCTCGGTGCTTAATTTGGTTACTGTTTAGGGGTTCACGATTGCGTACTGTTTTAGAGGGGTCGTGCCAAGTCCTTGATCTCAGGGGGATCGTACTTCTGCGATCACGTCTTCGACACGATTTTCACCCTGCTCGAGGCCATGAAGCACCGCATCTTACCGAGATCGACTGATCAGCGGCACTACTTTCGCTTCTGAATGACATCGCTATTCAGAAGTAAAACAAGTGTGTATGAGGCTTCTGACTTTTTTCACGTAATGAAATCGATTTGTAAATGCTTGTTACAACGTGTGAGTCAGCTTATTTATTCATAATAGTTAAGCAATGTTCAGCGAATTCAGCGATCCCTCAGTCGCTGTAAATGTGCTACGAATGTAACTAGTCAAGGTCAAATATCGGGAAATGGAACAACCACTGTAAAAGAGTGTTGCGTCGTTGGTGTCGCAGAGAAAAAACTTCATCATCAACTACCTATAAAAGGTATCTTGAAAGATGCTTCCGACAGTATCCACTTCCTGCCGATATGAACAAATTCATAGTGCTTCTGGTGAGTTGCTATACAATTTTGCAAACATTACTTTTTCTACGATTTTTATGATCTGCCCACTTGATTCGTTATTGAATTAATAGGGGTAGAGGGAGATGGGTGAAGGAAAGAGCCATTTTCCAGGAAGGGGGCAACAGCAGCTCACGGCGCCCAGGCTGAGCATTCCTTTGCTGACAAGGAATAGCAGTCTTGGCATACTGAGTCTCCCATCCTATAGTGTTTCGCACAAAACAAGATCTCCCTAAAATAAGGTCTCCGAAGCTGGTTACGCTTGATGAACTTGAGAAATCAAGCCGAAAATTTTCCAGGTTCTTTGCCTCGTCGCTCTTGTTTCCGTTCAAGCTCAACGCCGTGAGAAGGTCGAACGAGGTAAGCTAATAAGTCCAATTGTTACCGTAGTGGTGGAGCTTGAGCCCTTATGAATAAGACGATGTACATAGTCCGTGAAGAGGACCAGTGATTTGAAAACAGAATCTCAATACGTATGAAGAAAGGGTGTGGCACTCGAATGTTTGTTAAGCCACGCACTCCACTTTTGATTACGTAACGTTTTCGTGAGCTTGAATGGGTGAAACTTCTACATTGAACTGAAAGCGGGACTGTTCCAAACTAGAAAAAGTTAAACGAAACAGATTTGGTAGATTTATTTGTTTATTTTTTTGATGATGTACGAAACGCGCTTTTGAGAAGTTGCGCTTTTATAAGAATAATGGAAGATTATTCGAAACTATGACACGTATAGTCTTATAACTAAAGAGCGCTAAGAGCTCCAGTGGTCTATTGACCGCGTAAGCATCACAGTTTGATTTTATCTTCCTGACAGAGGGTAATAAACAAGGAGATGTAGTCATGAAGTGAGTGTACTTTCAGTTCCAATGTCCTTCCGTGGAGACGTGTGCGACAAGGTCTGCAGCAAACGTGATGGCTGGGAGCGATGCGAAAAGGAAAAGAAACGCGGTGACTGGGAGGTAAATTTTTATGATTGTAGTAGTAATATTGGCGGACGAACTTAGTAGATCATTGTGCTCATCTGAGTGCTTCTTTATCTGCTGCCTTTCATGAACTGTCATAAAGCTTGGCTTCACGATGTCATACTTAGAATCCGCTACTTCATGCGGTGAAGACTTTTTGAGTATGGCATCATGAGTCTTTTCAGGTAAACTGCAGGTCCAACTGTCAACAGAAAATATGAGCGCCGCTAGGGAATCGCTCTAGTAGGCTAGGCTTTGCCGCTTGTGGGTAGTTGGGGATTTTCCGCCGTGGATAGCGCTCAAGAGAAATCAAAAGAATCGCGGAAGCTAATAAAAGGTTTGAATATCCGCATCAATCAGAAAACTCGCGGTTTCGAGAATTCTGCGGATTCCGCCATTTCGGGACTATAAACTATGCCTAAATGAGTTTGAGAAAACGTCTTCCGGCTGTGGTATGTAGCAGCTGGCTGTGATACTGCACATTATGTACGTTACGAAAATCGTCTGCAATGAATTGTATACTTATCTAACTATCTTGATTTGTTCTTTGAACGTTGCCTATCATGTTTTTTTCAGGTGACATGCACTGATACCGGCTCAGGACGAGGAGGAAAAGGAGGAAAACGTGGCGGCCGTGATTGAAAACCTATGTAGAAGACAGTGAACCATGTAAAATACTAATAAACAATTTAATCTTATTCAACACTTGTTTGACGCATCCAGAAGGTAGTGTAAATAAAATAAGTAGTAGATGATAAGCATTGCTTGAATAGGTATATGATCACGTCATACCGTAATGCGAAGCCTTCAGCAGGGTGAAAATCGTGTCGAGACGTGGGTGTCACCCCCACCTCACACGAGTCTTGGATACGACCCCTCTAACTTTGATTTGATGTGAATAACGAGTTCCATCAATGCACAGGAAAGCATTCAGTTGCAGCGCGGTTTGTCCGTGGGATCAGATTTGCCGAAACCCCGCTCGAAACCACCGAAATCTACACTCTGATGAAAAGCTTCCGTTCCATTCTCCAATATAACCTTTGGAGTAGTATGTGGTAGGGTTAGATAGAACTGGATTTGCTGCTACCGGGCAAATAGATCTAAAAAAGGAGGAAATAGATCTAAAATCTTTACACTCGAGGAGATAGGGTCTCTCAAATTTTGTCGATGCAGCGTCGAGGATTCCGAATTTTTCATGCGCAAGTTTTTGCCAACTCAAAAGGACAATATCTCTCTGATTTGTAGGAATCTTAAAAAAATAAAAACTGTTTTGGAAACCGGAAGGTTTGTGGATTCTAACAGTATGTTTAGCTTCCTTCTACATTCCTCTAGTTGAGGAGATATTTGCGTCGAGGATCTATCGAGGATGATTCTCGGCCGCTCAAAAAGCCTCCCTTTCTTCACCATTGCAAGTGTAATTCGTTGGCAACGCTCGAAATGTGTCTAGAATACATTCTTCAACATAAGCAATAACAAAAGGGGCAATCGTCACCATCCGATTTTGTCTGGGTATAGGCCATGCACTCGAAGTTGCAGAATCGATTTGGAAGGTGTTATATGATCATGACCAGTTGACAAAGCTGCATTGTAGTAAACACATTTCGTAACTCCGGGGAGTATGGAGCGACTGAGCTTGCAAGAATATTTTTAAATCGGTTTTTTCTCAAATAGTCGTTGTCTGCTCCTCTTACTCCTGATTTGCACCACAACTGCACTGATGTTACCGGCACTTCCCCATGACCTCACCTGACACATGACGACCCCCCTCTGACGAGGATTCTCGGACGATATTTTCACCCTGGCCCTCATATTCTCCGCGAATTGAAATCATAAAAAAGTCTCGGAATGCACAAATATAGTGACTTCCCACAGTTTTTGAAGTTAACAGTTTTTTTCTTTTTTTTTCCTATATCTAGAGATCCCGACTGTCACGTGTGGCTCTTTTGGGTAGTCCCATAATTCCTGTCCGATTTTTGATCAAAATTCAAATTTCTTCAAGTCGAATTCAGTGTCATTGCGAAATATGTTGGTATGTCAAAGAGTGCATCTAGACCGTTAGCCAGGACGTTTTGGAAGGTCAAACCCGCATCGGGATAACTGAGTAGAAGTCGAAATAGATCAAGTGACAATAACGAACGATTATGCTTTATGATCCTCAAATAGACGCTGTTGCAAGAGGACACTAGAGAAGATCAGCGCTGTGTTTGGCTCAGTCTCTGCTACTGATCGGTCACTGAGCTAGAGGTTCGGTCGCAATGGCAAAGACAATACGAGCTGTGAAATCAGCCTCATCCTGGCCTCCACTCACTTCGATGAGGACCCTTGCGCCGTGCACATTGACGCTACTACCAGCGTATTAGAGCGACACTTGGCGCACCGCATGCACTTGCACGAGCACACGCCATGAAGAGAGTGGCAGCAGAATGAAGACTTGATAGAAGAACCATATGCACCGACCAGCCATGCCCGAGAAGCTGGTCCTGACCCTTTGGGGAATTTCATTCTGTGACCTCAATAGCAGAGCGTTCCCTAGTTGATCACTAGTGGGATGAGTCATGAGTTCACTACGACAACAACACGCAGCACGCCTGATGGCTACCTCGCAGCCAGGGCTCACCAGCTCAACAAAAGCCCAAACTCCGTGGTCAGAGAATATTGCTTTTGATTTGTTAGATTGAGTGGGCCTTCCGTTTTCACAGTCGTTTTGCTATATGCGGACAAGTATTGTGAATACCGTCGTGGAACAGCTCCCGGAGGTCGGTCACACCCTCCACCCCCCCCCTCCCCCCGCGCCCCCAGTAATGGCGAAAAAATCGTCTCAACGTCCTTAAGATCCCTCTCGAATAGACGCCGACCGTGCACATTGCAAAGGTGATTTGCTACGTTTGAATAAAGTGGCTAGACCATTGTACCATCGTTATAGCCCTGGCATCACTCCATCGGCTACCCCTTCACAGTGCCTTGAGCAGCAGCGGCGAGAGAGAAAAAAGTCACTAAATACAACCACTCCAAAAACGACCTTGCTGAATTCTTCAGCTCATAGCTTCACCCATTCTAGGAGGAAAGCATCCAAAGGTTCCCTGGCGAATGGATGCATATCGGTGATTATGATAATGGTTATATTTTTGATCAATTGGTTTTGAGAAGATAAAACTCGATGCGAAGAAAGTGTCGAAATTCAGACAGGAATTATGGGACAACTCCCATATTATTACATTTTTGCTCCAGTCACAAGTAAACCAGGATCTCCGGCACCAGAGTCGCAAGAAAACATCTTTTGATTTGGTTCAGACGTTACGTGGGCCTCCCAGAACGTAATTTCCTGCGTTCAGCTATCCGTGAAAACTGCCGACTGACTCAGCAATTGCTTTTGGAAGGAATTGCATTCCATCGCTAGACACAGGGCCGTACGCTATCCTTCCCGAAGGGATTGGGTCGAAATTTCTCTGTCTTCCCAATCTGGGATTGCCCTGATAAAGGACCTACATTTAATGTATGTATGTAGGTAAAAGTAAACATGCACTGAAAATGAAGAAACTATATCGTTCAAAACAAATAAATTTAAAGGAAACTTTGGATCACTTAGCTTCGGGGAAGCATAGCATACGGGCCAGGCAATGTACATTGACTTCGTGAATGAAAAGCTATTTGAATGAGAACTCTATTTTCAAGGCTTAAAAATATCGAGTCTTTGTTTACTAAACGGAGGCGACCAGGCATAACAGCACTCGTCACCGGCATCCGGAGCTCTATTTAAACTCATTGTTTTCAATTTTGACCTTACAGTTAGAAATGTTTTTTTTTTTCTGAATTTAGTTGCCGTTTCAGTTTTGGTAAAATTCAACACAACCAAAGAAGCTGGGTAGAATTTGAAGAGCGGCTTCTATTATTTTTTTAGCGCGTAACCATCGTAGGAGTGCGAAACCATGTGAAGCAATTTTATGTTCGATTTTTAAAATATCACTCCTAAAATATCATCAATACGGATATCACTTCAAATAGTCGAAGATAGGACACTGGCAAGTGACCTCATCACCACACGCATTATCTGAGCACGTTAGTTGTACGCGGGTTCGAAACCCTTCTAAGCCATTTAGTTCCTCGAATTCTTCGGGATTGTTTGATTGGTATAGGCAGAAACTGAAGAAATCGGGTATAGGCTTCACGACATTTTTGCTGGCGTGGGATCGATTACCTCAAGAAAACGAGGAGGCATTACGCACGAACATTCGATTTCCCATTTTTCCTCACGACAGGCCACTCTATTACACACCGAAACTGTGCACGAAGATGTGAACGGAAGCCATCACCAACAGACATAAACTACCGTAGTAAGGGCGCTGTAATTGAATCGCCGTAAGACAGAGGCCGATCTTTGTTGGTGATCTATTTTCGTCACTTGTTGTGATTTCCGAATTGTGCCCTTGAATGGCTACACGTCGTGCACGTTTCGGGTTACAACGTTCGTGGGGTTGTTTGAAGTGATGTCTGGTGCCATTATGAGGCCAAATCGGTTGCAAATCGTTTATACGTCCATTCCCGTGCGCGAGTGTCAAACGGTGGTTACCGCGAAACGTGATATAAGCTGGTCGTGGTGTCGCGCGATCAGATTTCTATTGGTTCGATCATGAGTTGCGAGTTGATCTATTGACTGACATGAAAGCCAATCTTCAAGATCGGATAACATTCCATTTTCTTCCGTGACCGATACGGTTGAGAGATCGAAAAAGTCCTGGTGGGTTTCTGAAAGTAGAAATCTTTACGATTAAAATGATGTATTGGTTTACGCAAAAATTTGGAAAATTCCTTCTATTTAATGAATAAAACTTCATTTGCCTCGATTCCTCCTCTGAGCGAGACAGAGCGCGCGGATTGACCACGGTCCACCACTTCTCCATGTTGGTGACTGCCATCATTGATGAGCATTGATGAGCATTAAATTATGTGAAAGACATGATAGTTAATATGGGGGGTCGTACCGATACCCCCCGAAAAGGAAGGGGGTCGTAAAAATTTGGGAATTTGCGCAACGCAGGGTTGACCCTGCGTCATGAGACCACAGAAGCATGGTTCATTTTTCCTGAACGGCTCTCTGAATACCAGAAAAGGGTCCCTAGTTCGATTCCTCGTGGTGACAAGTTTTTGCATTTCGTGTTGACGTTTCCAAATTCGCGCAAAATGGAGTTAGCATGAATAATTAGTACCAAATTCATGATTAGGAACGTCAGTAACCCTTACAAATAGACTTTGATTGAAAAACTGGTGAAAAAGGTGTGACTAGGGACCCCCTTTTCTGGTATTCAGAGGGCCGTTCAGGAAAAATTAACCATGGTTCTGTGGTTCCCGCATGTGCCTCTATATCATGCGAAAGACCGTTTTGAAAAAGA